GCCGCCCGTGACAACAAGAAGTCTCGTATCATCCCCAGACATTTGCAATTGGCCATCAGAAACGACGAGGAGTTGAACAAATTGTTGTCCGGAGTAACCATCGCACAAGGCGGTGTGTTGCCCAACATCCAAGCCGTTCTGTTGCCCAAGAAGACCGAAAAGAAAGCTTAAAAAACATTCTTCCGACACTGCACAACTAAAAAGGCCCTTTTCAGGGCCACCAAAATTTAAAACACTACTTCCCTTCTGTTCTAATTCTGTAGTTATAAGCAATGAGTAATAAGGCTCGGACACATAGAACGATAACTGTTTCTTCGTACAGCGGACGGGTTGTAATTAAATACAAAATTTGGCCTTGACCGTCGTAATAATCGTATATACATTAACGATATCACGGCCCGCCGTGACAGACTGCGTTCTGTGTGCTCGTTTCTGAATACTATAATATACATTTAAAGATAATACCTTAAATTTAAATTACCTTTGACCCCTGGGACTTTATCACTACACTGCTAATTTAGTCCGCGACAGGGTAAAATGGGTGTATAATAAAACTTACAATTCTTTTCATTGCCGGTTGACCTATATGAATATCACGTGGTGCATCCAGTTCAGTTCAGCGATTTAGAAAGCAACAAAATAATATTGAATATAAGTTATTTTTAGAACTTTTTTCTTATAATATCTTGCTACCGTCGGTAATATCCGCACAGAGGTTCGGGTTGATACCATTGATATCCATCGTATTTAAAGTATACTATTATATTTTCAAGAGACATCGTCGTAAGAGTTATATTAAACAACATTTTCCAAAAATAACCTGATCGATCACGATTTGACAACGAATCCGTTTTCAGCGGTCTAATCACGCAATCGGGTTCGGCTGTATGGCTGACGAAATATTTTAACGTTTTGTTTGCAATCCTCTTAATTAGATAACAAATTTATTATTGTTTTGATTGGGTGTTAGAATCCAAACGGTCGTTTTTTTTTTAAGAGAAAAAATATTATATAAATTTATATTTAGGTAGGCTTATAACTAGATACATTAGGTGCCGTGTATTATATTAAATAATGAAAAAATATTGGAGCGTTTTGGTTAGTAGGAAATGTTAATGTCACTCAGAATATTATCAACACTTAAATATTTTACAATTTTACATGAATATACTCTCGTGTCTATTGAATGAGAGTTATTCGATTTGTTAAACATACAGGTACGTGTTAAACGTGTTCCATAATATACCTAGGTACCTACCTATATTAATAATATTTGTATATTGAACTGAATGATAGCCTACTGCCGAGGGGTCAAAAGATTTGAAAAAAAAAATTCTATAAATAAACCAGTAAATACGAACCCCATAGTTAATTAATAATACGTTCACAAAACGAACGACACTGTGAAATAGCAAATAAAAATTGACATTCGGTGAAACAATTAATTGATCACCAACCCGGTCAATGATTCGATGTTATGAATGTTAGCCTCCAATAAAGTTTTAATATTTTTGTTCCTATGTGTAGTATCTTCATAATCACCTTAAAATAGAATTGATCCATTTCAATACACGTTGCCGATTTTTAGTGATTGGGAAAGCGACAAGGCTTTCTATTGTTTTTACAACCAATAAACAACAAAACGGCGTAATATATTGAGCTGCAATTAAAAATAAGATTAAAATATTCTCACAGTCACAATGAACAAAATATTTTATAACAACGACGGGCCTAACGTTAAAGGATCATACATTACCCTACGGTAACGATTGCAAAATACTGCAGACAATTATTGTATTGTTTATTATTAATTACTGATTAAAAATAAAGCATCTTAACTGAATCAGTAAAAAACGAACATAATAATATTATATTTAACAATCGACAGGCCACAGAATATTTGTGTATGTATTATTCATAAAATTTAGTGCGGCGCTTGCCAGAGCAGTGTGAGGACTGATCCGAAAGCAATAACGTCACAAGCGCATTAGATTTTACCCTAATCTTATGAAACATTTTTGTTTTACATTTTGTTTCCATGATAATTTTTGGACCATTAAGTATTAGAACATTTAGAACCAAAATAAACTTTTTTTTAGTTGTGTGTGTCGCATGAACTACTTTCCGAAGATTTATTTAAATTAATATATTTTGTTGAGTACGTCCAAACCAAATCTTTCCAACTTGTAAATTGTATCGAACTTAATATGTACTATATTAAAATGGAATGCATCAATAATTAGCGGCTTCATCAAAATCAGAATTGAAAACATCGATACAAATTGCTTGTGATTTTGAGAATCAATTTATTGTAAACACACTCTCAAAACACTGAATAACAAATAGTTGTTTTTTTTCTGTTTTTAAAAGCTATATTATAGGTAATTAGTCTAAATTTATATTCTGTTAAAACTTTTGAAATTTGATGTTTATATGCAGCAAAAATTGATGTAATATTCCCAAAATATTCTTAATATTATCAAAATATAATATATTTGTAACTTATAGTTATTAAATAACAATAATCTCCTACTCTATGTTGTATTTTAAGTATTTGTTTGATATAAATTGAATTTTAATTGATGTGTATGGACGGAGGTACTTACTATGACAAGTATTTATAAAAATTATTTATAAATCTATTAAGTTGATTATTTGGTGATTTGTGAACATAATATTTTGCACCTTTTTTTAATGCTCTCAAGTAATTTACCCAGAACTTATGTTATTGTAAATTCCTGTATACATTTTCTAAACTTCAAGCAGTTGAACTACCTACATAAAAATCAAAAATAATAGAACTCTTGATCTAATATTTAATGATGTCCGAAATACAATTGTCTTTAAACAGTGCTGATTGGTTCCATTGGCTGATGACCAATATCCTCCATTCAACTTTATTTGTGATACAGATCACTTATTTGTTGATGAAGATAGTAACAATTTAACTTTTTGTTATCTCGAATATTACTTTTCAAGCTTATTTAAGTGCTTATTGAACATTGATTTTAATCAACCATTCAAAGATTGAAGTAGGTATATATTACTTCGCCGTTTATAAATGTCATAAAATATTATACCATTTTATTGAATTGTTTGTCCCAAAATACAAACTACAAAGTATTCAATTACTAGAATCCCACTTATTGGCATAATCCAGAATGATAGAGACTAGTAAACCTAATAAAATGGCACTTGCAAAATTTAAAATAAGTGCTTTAAAATTCGATTATAAAGATTTATAAATTATAAATAGGCATACTAGGGGAATATGACATTTTGTTGTTTCTATAAGAAATAGGTACTGGTATTTAAGATTCAAGGACTCTTCAATTACATGACTTATAACTCCCTTTGCATCATTATACAATATGCAAGCTTCATAACTAAAACAAAATTGTATTTTGTGTGAGATACGTACCTACATTATTTTCTTATCAATCTGAATATAACTATAATTTTTAGATATTTAATTTTATCTTACTTAAGATTGTATGTTTTAAGTTGCATAAAAAAGAGAGCTACCTATACTAAAGTGTAGTTATAAATACGTATATATTACCTACAAGTACTTTTGCATTAAGAAACTAAATATAAAGCTTGTACAACCTCGAGCAAAATAACATGGCGATATTAACTTTGATTAAGCTGTGTTATTTACTGTTAAATTATGTTTACGTATAATATACTATAGTGTTAAGTTGTTACAGTTAAAATATTACATAATTGATATAATATTCTGGTTTTTTCTACCTACCTATATGGTTGCTTATACAAACATGTTTATGTCATTTTACCCGAGCACCCGGGTAAAATTACATAGTTCATTTTCTTTTTAAAAAGTCAACTCAATTTTTGTAATAATTTAATAAATTTATTATTTTACTGCTGGAATGTGTGCAAAGTATTAGTATAAATATGCAGATATATTTTCGGCCTTCCCGGTGTTAACTAATGATACAATTCTTTATGTTATAATTTACTAACATGGTATGTCATATTCATAGGCGGAGATCGGGGGGGAGGGGCTTACGGGGGCTTAATCCCCCCAAAATAAATTATATGAAGTTAAAGACCCCCTAAGAATATTGAACAAACAATACCGTAATTTTGTACAGTTTACAGAACTTTTTTCATTATTTTATATTCTTATATCCACAATTATATAAGTGTGCCTAATACATAACATACACACTATTTACCAATTTATTATTTACGGTAACATACCGAATAATTAAGTCACTATTCACAATAATATTATATTGTGTTTATATTTCTAATATTGTACATATTTTGTACCAATTGGCCATCTATATTGAATAACATATTATACCATTCTATTTTAGATGGGAAAAATATTATTTCTTTTCCTAATTTTTGTTAATTCTCGAGAAGCGATAGCTATTATAGGACTATATCGCTATAGCTGTATTAAACCTATCGTAAAGTTTATCGCGATTGAATGAATCGTTAACCGTATTGACCATTTTATACTAAATTATATTTTACTTATTGTTTGATGTTCTTGGGAATACATTTCTTTTGAGATTGTGATTTAGATTTTTAAAAAATAATTTAGTTCAAATATGTTTGAAATATTTAAATTTAAATCGTTTATTAATTATTCTTTTTTTTATGTTTGTAACTATTTAAGTTGTCATGATAACGAGTCAACGAGAACAATTTTTTATGAGTGATCTAATGTAAAAATTAGTTTGTTGAGGGTGTGGGGGCAATGCCCCCACGGGTCTGTTTGTCATCAAATATTTGAGCCCCCCTTAATATTTCACAAGATCTCCGCCTATAGTCATATTAATAAGCAAATCTCAGCTAAAATATATTTTATTTTTTCTAGTCACACTGTTGCTTTATTATTAAATTATCATAATGTATGGTTCGGGACCCAGTATGCATCGGGAATTTTTATTAATCAATTTTCTTATAAGTAGAGCTTTTGACTGTCAACAAATTATAGCTTATAAGACTATAACTTATAAGTAATAACCTAGCTAACCATACAAACATTACAAACAAATAAAGAAATAGTCAATAGATAGCAGTATAATACTACAGAAGAATTACGTATATGAAAAGGCGGAGTTGACAAGCGAAAACCAGAGTAGCGAAGGTAGAGTGCGCCACTAGAATGACTAGGTACTCAGTTATGTACATTTTAATATTTTCCAATTTTCCATCCATCAACTTTAAATATTACGTAATATTGTA